ATTATCTCGTCGTTTGTGAGAGAACCAGGTCGCGGGTCTCCGCACCACATGCTGAAAGAACGTAGGAAAGATCGGTAAACAGCCGGTGATGAACCTAGAGGTCACTTGGGCTGCACTGGACTGCTATTAGCATTTCATGTCGAACAACAGTAGGGTCCAAGAAGATATACTATCGACAAGATAGATAGTATTGTACGTACGCCCTGAGAAACCTGGGTAACGTGGGAAGACACCCCTCCGCTCTGTTCTTTCTGTTGTCATTCCAGATACCAGCGGTGAGATACATCATGCTCCATATGCGCCTAAATCATCGCAAGTACGGAGTAGACCGAAATTTATTCTCGGAAATGCGCAACCGGGGTTTCCTTTCTCTAGAAGACCGGAAATATGGACAGAGGATTCTTTCTAACACTCAGTTGACCGCAAAGTTTCCCAAGGCTACACTACATATTCCCTGCTCGAGACTCAGAATTGACTAAAACGTAAAACAGCCTAGAACAGGGGATATTTTAATTCTATCCGATGTAAGGGGGCCCGATTAGAGCACCTGCAGAGTTGCATAGGGGGGAAAATCTCTCACGAGGTCTTCCCCGGGTGACTTGGAGAATTCCACGGTAACGGATACTTGTCAATATTATACAACCCTATTCCAGACCGTGTGGATGCCAGGTGGTCAACGTTGAAAGCAGTAAGGGGTAGTTCGGTCCCCCTTGCAGACACCGGTGACTCGTGGGATAGCGGTCAGGCTGGTTGGTAATGTATGAAGAGCAGGAAACGGTCCCGGGTGTTCAAAATGATGTAATGTCTAATAAGTGTATGGACAGATGTATAAATGTTGGCTATACGAATATGCCGTTATAGAGTAACGGCAAACAGTCCGGCAAGCCCTTCTTCCCAGCTCTCCATCAACTCGCCACAGAACATCTCTACCGCAGACGTGTCCATGGTCTTCTCCAGCTCAGCCCGAAGCTTAGGACCAACCTCGCTCTTACCATCACCACTTCCGACCAGGTCAATCAAGGACCCAAGCATGCCAGGTTCCGAAATGCGCGACTTCAATGCGCGGACATTGACTCGGATCGCTTGATGAACTTGGCGTGCAGCTTCGCCCAAACGTGCTACTTGGTCTTTGGGTACCTTGGGAACCTTGGGAGTTTTCCTAGAGACAATGGTCGCGACAAAGATCACCGCCTTCAGAGACTCCAAAACGACAAAAAGATTATGGAAGCTCTTCCAAGACGGAGCAGTCGGGGTGTCCGACTTCAAGAAAATTGCGGTGTTCGAGACGGCGTTAGAAATTTGGCCATCTTCCACAGTAAGTTGCTGAGACTTCTCGTTCAACCATTCCTCCACCTGGGTCAAACTGTTTTCGACTTGTTCAGAGGAAACAGCTTTAGATCCGCTAAGGTATGCTGCCACCTTAAAGAGGTTCAGGTTGACCTTGACCCCTTCAATCTCGGGCTGGGTCATCTCGGAGGCCGCATTGGATCCCACGAGGTCTTCGAGGTTAGGCAGATCGGGTTGAGCAGTGATGGGTTTCTGGAGTATTATGTCCTTGAGGAGCCCAAATAGTTCATCTGCCATTCTGGTCGATTTCACCCATTGCTCCTGTTTTCTATTAGAACCATCCCGCAAACCCAGCATACAAGAGCCAACTCACCTGAGGCAAGGGTCCCGAGCGCACCCGCTCTTCCAAGGTTGGCTTGCCCGAGGCCTCGCAGTTCATGAATGCGTCGAATACACGCTGATCGACCAAGGGCGATGTGTCTCTCGCTGTTGTTACGTGTAAGCAGCTACTTGTTGCGTAAGATGCGCCAAAACTTACCGATCTCTTCAAAACGACCCATCGGGTCGCCACCGACCAGCCTCTGAATGCGTCGCACTTCGAGCGCCCAAAGCCTTCGGCAGATACTATTTTTAAGGCGCTTCTGAAGATCAATGGTCCCTTCGATGTTCACGTAGCTGCCATAGTCCAAACCGTTAGATCGGTGCCCAACTGTGGTAATTTCGGCAGTCCGGTAAAAGTTAAGGGCCTGAACGAAGGCGGACTGGGGGTTAAAGTCCTTGTACTCCGCACCCTCGATAGGCGGGGCCGACTGAGGGTGGATTGTAGCAAGACGTGTGAAGAGGTTGTGGGCAACGGTCTCGAATTGTATCTGTTTAACAGAGAGCTTGCTGAACGTCTTCAGAGCCAATGACCCTGCACCAAGGTGCAGATAGATTCGCACGAGAAGAAGTAGCGCTTGGTAGTTATGGGGAGAATCCTGGAGGAGGCGTTCCAGGATGGCTGCTGCGCGAATATGCATGAGATTCAATACTTGTTCCTGGCTGTCGGAAACCAAGGTTTCACTAAAGCGAATCAAGCTCATTGCAGCGATCAGCAGCAGATCATCCCTGGGCTGGCTCTCAATCGTAGACGACGCAGCATCTCGTTCCGGCCGCTCGACCTTCCGGTACTTTTGCAGGCAGCGTGAGGCAAAGTCTTCCACCTTTGACTTGGTCACATTTGCTTCGTCGGCCGATAGCAGGAAGCAATACTCGAACTTCAGCGCATTGATGACAGCAACACCCTTGAAAGGGTCATTCTTTTTCTGCGAATTGTTAGCGTTGCGGTAACAAGAGGCTGTGTTTCAAGTAACACATACATCGCTCGTTTCCTCTTGATCTTGAGCTGCGTACTCCACATATTTCGACAAGGCGTCTTTATCCAGTGCTGACAAATAAGTTTTCAGGTCACCGAAGCAGTAAAGTTTGTTCTTGTTACGATCATAGTACCCTTGGCAGGCAGCTACCAGATCATCCGCCTTCAGGATGCCCGACTGGAACTTGAAATGAATCAGATCCAGACGGGCCAATTGTGCATTGCGCGACTTTGGCTCATATTCTATGAACCCGTTGATGAACTTTTCAGTTTCCTCAAGAGTCCTGAAACGACCTGTTAGCAATATCCTTAAAGGTACTGCGCACGGAGAGGCTCATGACATACTCCTGACTGTTGATATTCCGGACCGCAGCAACGAGTAGGCTCCAAACTGCCCAATCGTCATGCTCCTGGAGAGCCTTACGCTCATCTTCAGTGGTGGGAATTGCGAGCAGGTCCTTTGTGTAGGACAGGCCCTCAGTCCACATCTGGGCCTTTTCAAGGTTATCGAGCTTCACCCCGACGAAGGACCAATCGTTTTGGATGATTCGAGAGCTAATTCCAACGGTTTGGCTATTAAGGATATTCACAAGTTCACCATGCCGCCCTTGGGATTCAAAGATTTTGGCGAGAAGAAGAAGCTCCTCGGCATTTTGAATAGCTCGTGGGGGGCTTAGCAGCTCTTTCTGTTTGCATGGCATTAAACATTAACGACATGTCCCCAGAGCCACTGCATTATAGATCTGAACACCAGCGGACAGGGTTCCAATGCATTGAGGGGGTAGAGACGGGAAGCTGAGGTCATACCGGATCAGAAGGCACACTATCAGCAGCCTTCGACGCCATGCGATAGGCCAAGGTGCCGAACAGCTTACGTTCGGGTTCCAAGCTGGACTCGTCGACGGCGACGAGGTAGCTGAGGAAGATGGCCCAGAAGTAGTACCGTCGGTCCTTAGGGAAGTTGCTCTGGAGTGTCATGGCAGCCTGTTTCCCACCGCATCAGTTACCATAAACCCTAATTGTCGTACGATCGAGTATCCCGAACCTTCTGTGCCGATTTCCAATCGTCACCATCGAACGCAAGTTCGAACCATTTCATTTGAAGATCCAGATCCTGGGGCTTGGCTTTCGACGCTCTCTCCCATATACTTCTCATGGCATCTGCCTGACCCCCAATCTTCTGCAAAGTCTCGTAAAGGATGTCCAGCGTATCAAGATCGGTCGCTGGGGGGTCCACTTTGCACAGGTCGAGGGTCTCAGCGATACCGCGCTGACGATGGGTGTCGTCGGCATGCCGAAAGAGAACGTGGGCCTTCCAGACCTAGTATATGACCGAATGCACACAAGTCAAATGATCAGCCTCTTGTTGAGATAGATGGAACCGACCGACTACTCACTTTGAGAAACCGGGTGTCCTCTCCCTTTTTCATGCGCTTCTCAATCAGCTGCAGGGCCTGCTTGAAATTCTGCCCGTCAATGGCATCTTGGATTGGCTTGTTCCGGCGGTGGAACACGGCGTCATTGGTGGACATGACGGAAGACAGCCCAAATTTTGATCAGTGGGCTAGAGGATAGAAGATTTCGGGGATTTCAGATCGACAGCGAAAGCAGGAACCGGGCGTATGCTGCGCAGCCAAGCACAGCACACGATGTGCGGGGGAATTCGTGGTCGGCGGGATGGTGGTGGTTCCGCCTCTGCCTGTATCGTCGGCGGTTTTTCAGGGCGGGCGGCAGTTGAAAGGCGGTGATGGCGGTGTCCTCAGGAACCACTTGTTTTGACTCTACGGAGGTACTTTAATTACTGTCTTTCTATATTTTCTATGCATCTACATCGTTGTCCTAGCGCCAGGTATGGTGACGAGCATTACCCTGAGAGTATTCATGGTCTCCTCAATTGCTTCATATTACGCTAGTCGGTATAGAAGAGCAACGTCATTTGCAACAAGAAAAATAGGTAATATACATGTAGGTACTGAACAACCATCCAGGATTGGGAGACTGGGGCGAAGTATGCTGGGATAGCCAATGCAAGAAGAGACAGGCGCTTATCTGGTAGATCAACTAGTAAACAGATTTCGAGTTCAACAAGATCAATGGGAATGACATATGTTTGCCTGCAAACTCAATGCCACTCCGTCTCGATGCGTATTGATGGACTGAAGGGGTGGTCATGGTCCAGTTTTCTGTCTGGTATCAAGTACTTCGGCTCGTCAGTCATCATAGATCTGGGTAAATGCCCGTTTAAGTGACCTCAAGATAACGCTGCTTTGTTCCAGGACCCAAGATACCTTTGGAAAGTGGCGGTCATCATAGTATCAAAATGGGACCTTGTCACGGCATTTTGGTAATATGGCCACCATTATTGCTTTGCGGCCGGAGACCCAGCAAGCTTCTTTTGCGTCAACTTGAAAAGGTGTTAGCTAAAAGACTAAATTTGGGCACATTGTTCTGAAAAACTAGGCCCTTGGGCAGAGAATTAAGAAAGATTCCGTGCTCTAGCACAACAACTTACCCACTGCTTTTTACAGTCGCGATAAGCTCTAAACTATCTAGTTAGCGGTTCTTCTCGCAGATAAAGGGCCATCGAGGATGAACCTACTGGAAATAATCATGACACATCTCGCGGTCGAAAGCATTCCGCTTCATACATTTGAGACTACGGTCTGCAAAATCCTGGCAAGGATCAAAGTACTCGCTTGCAGTTTTACTGTAGGTTGGGCGTGATTAGTTTCAACGATAGAGATTCTCGAGGATGGGGTAGCTGCGAGTATTTTATTATTCCATAGCCTAGGTCGAACTGCAGATAGCGTCCATGTCCTAGAAGGTATCTGCTTGGGGAAGTAGGCAACTCAAACTTACTTGCTGAACTTGCGTTCCACATTTCCCCAGGAGTTGGGGTGGTCCTGGTCTAGCGACTTCTGTCCTTCTTGGGATGACATTGCAAGCGATATTCAAGAGTTCAGATGAAAGAACGATGGAGGGGATGAAATCCAACGAAAGAAGGATACTATACGGAATGGCGGAGGAAAGAGGGCGATGGAGGTTTGGTGGGCTAAACTGCTTCTGGCGATCCCCGGGTCTTGGCGCGTCGAGAGCCCATCGGCTTAGTCACCCGCTCGCAGCCCTAGGATTTGGAGGTATACAGCGAGCATCTTTCGGGTCATTGGCTCTTGTATTACTTTGAAAGCTGAAGAGAAAGTTGGCATATCATGCGACTTGTTAGAAAGTTCCCACAAATGGTGAGCCTCAAGACTTTTCTCACAAGACCCATCATCAATCAAAGTAATCGCTATTTATATATTTATGGCTCTATGTGTTCAATGTTTCATCTTGGGTGTTACAGCTGTGATTTGATCGAAAGATGACGGCCAGTGCCAGGGTTTGAGTGATACACGTAGTGTAATTTCCCTATAATCAAGCATTCCGCGAGTATATGACGGTATATCTCTCGAATAGAGTTGATACCTGGAAAAGTGACAGAGTCCAGTTAACCGGGGTAGTTGCATGCAGAAGCAAGTCAAGAAATCGGTTCGAGTGATTGACATTGTTCTAACCTCGAAATTTTCAAACAAGTCTGGGGGCTTGCCATATGCTGAAGGCCATGTTCGAATGGAACACGTGCACGACCAGTATTGCCACGATTTAAGCGCCCAGTTCGGGCCTTATCACATCTGGCGATTCCACCGCCAAGCAATTTAACCCGCGGACGCAGGTTGGAAGAACGCAGGGCGAGACGAGCAACATGCAAACGTAGAATTTCCAACAAGTCACCGTTGCAGCGGCTGTGGCTTCGGGTCTCTCTTTGTTGGTTTTCCTGCTTGGATGTTGAGTTCATACGAGAGGGAGCTTAGAGACCCGTGTAGAACTTCTACTCCGTATACGTAACTACCTGATTCATATCGGTGATTAGATCAGAAAAGATCGACAGGCAGGCGAAACGACACGATCAGGAATCGAATGAATCTAAACTGAACTGGTGAGCCATCATGTCTGTTTCATTAATTCGACTCCTCCGAGTCCATCAGCCGATAGAGACGTGGGTGATGGGAGGCACCGGCGTGAGGAATTATTGTGAGCGAGGAATTTAGCCAGCCAAGGAGATCACGGCGTCAAGAACGGCAGCGGACGGGGTTAGTTAGGATCTGCCCTGCCAAATGGAGACCAAATTAGACCGAAGTTGGCTGTTGGATTTGTTGGACTGATCGGCCCTGTGGGGTTGTTGCAAGTGCGATCGGGCTGGAGCGTCACGACGACCGAAGCTTTCAGTCGCGCGTGTTTGTTCGGTTTGCGCGCGGAGCGTTCCGAAAAGAAAAGTTCCTGGCAGTTCGACCTGTCCAGTGTCCATCCTCTTCACCTCGCCTTTTCCTCTCCTCCGTCAATAGGTAAATACTCGAAGGAACCCTGACGTTTCATTCCTTCCCTCCGACCGGACATCCTCCTCGCCCGCTTCCTTTCGCCTCCGTCTCGTCACTCCCAGCTCAAAGAAGTGCCTGGACAACGCCCCCGGCCAACAGTTGTCTAGACACTTCTAGTACAACCGGAGCGAAAAGTATCTTCTTCTTCTTCCCTCTTCTTTTCCTACTTTCTCTTTTCTCTTCCCCTGACTCCTGCTTCGGTCTCGTGTCATACCACAAACTCTCCTGTCGCAGCCCAACGAAGATCGAAGACGGACAGAAGCTGCCTCTCGTCCTTCGGCTTGAACACCAAACGAAAATACCAGATGTCGAAACCAGCACCCTCGGGGCCAACCCCAAGCAATAGCTCCCGCGATGCGATCGGGACGACAACTGCCGCAGAATCGGCTGGGGATACTTCCGGGGTAAGCTGTTTTTTCGAGGAGCAGAAAACTGATGTGTATTCTAACGCGTTGTCTAGCTCTCCCAAACTTTACAAGGGCACGTGGATGACATTCGCTCTCTGATCCAATGCGGCATCTGTATCAGGCCCTTATACGAACCCTTTACACTTGGTTGTGGACATACGTTTTGTTATACTGTAAGGCCCTGAAGAATCCGGCTCATGACGAGTATACGAAAAAGACTAAATAATTACATACCAGTGCTTGACCTCGTGGTTTGGAGGGGGGAGATCAAATAAGACGTGTCCTGATTGTCGAACACCGGTGAGATCGGAGCCGTCGCCTGCATACCTGGTACGTGAATTCAAGTCAGACCGTCCTAGGCAGTAGCGAGATAAAGATACGATGAATACTGACATGTTCAAGGTTCGTGCAGTTGTCCAACTCTTCACAAGTCGTGCCGAACTTCTAGACAAGGGCGAGACTACGGCGGAGCATATACACCATCAACGCGAGGAGGCTGAAAAGATCGATAAGGATAAGAAGAACCCACATCCTAGAGAAGGGGGGTTGTTCAAAGGCACATTCAGTAGGGCAAGAAACTCTACAGCGCCACCCGTCGTTGACCTCGAGGACGGTGTTCTTCGATGTCCGCAATGTTCCTGGGAGCTTGAAGAAGATTCCAATTGCATACAATGTGGATATCGGCCGGGGGGGTCGGTTACTGATTCCTCGGATTATTCGAGTGATGATCTGGATGAGAATTCTGAGATGACAGACTATTTTGATGACGAGGCCGAGGACGGACTCAACGAGGTGGATGATTACGGTTGGAACGATCTCTATGCTGGAGTGCCCATTGATGCGTTGCCGTTTGATATTCAACACTTATATGAACTGCATCGCAACCACTACCCACACCAACCACGCCATGTTCTTCCGACATCCGGACCTCGCATACCAGCGGGATATTGGAATCAGAATGATACCCACGACAGCGAAGAAGAGGAAGAAGAAGAGGAGGATACTGACATGGATTCTTTTATTGATGATGATGAAAATGAAGAGCATTATCCAGTGCGTTATGACAACGGGGAATACGACACCGGATCAGATCGATCTACGGTTGTTGGGGGCCCGGAATACATCACGCAAGAAAACCGCTACGAGGAACGCCACGACTTCCCCATGTCTCAACTCGGGGATTTTGTGAGTGATAGCGTGTCAGAAGTCACAGGAACCGGAGAAGAAGAAGAAGAAGATAACTCGGACGATGATGACTCGGACGATGATGAAAGTGATGATGACGATGAGCCAGTCCGACCTGCCGTCAGCGGAAATCGACGCCGACCAATTCCTTACTTCCAGATTTCAAGCTCTCCAGTGCAACCACGATTGCTGACTTCGAATGGCCATCCGGCTCAATCACGCACAGCATCCCGTGCTCGAAACGCACCATCAGCTGGAACCTCAGCGTCGAATGCGATCAGATTGGAGGATGACTCTGACGAAGGGCCCGTGAGACCAGCCAGGAGAGCAAGGCGATGAGAAAGTTGTCAGATTGGGCTTGTTTGATCAAATACGACTTCATGAATTACCCCCCTGGCGTTTTATTAGCGAATTTGTTAAGGTCTAGTCTGAACCGACCTTTCAAGTGCGGTCTGGGGACACAAGACGACCTTGAGAGAGGTCTTTCTCCATGTGCTTTATCTCCCCTTTTTTCCGCCATTATTTCTTCTGACTTCGGCCATCATAGATATATCCAGTTAACCAGTGGTATGGACAAGGCAGGACTGACTCGTCTTGTCCTCTTGTGGCTTCGCTTTGCTTCGTTCCCCCCGTGATATTTTCTTTAGGTTTCCTGCCCCGCGGCAGCACCATCTATTCTTCTTTCCCCCTGAGAACTAATTTTTTCATAAATACCCAACTTTATCGAACTACCAAATGCTATACTTCTGGTTTCTTCATATGCCGAAAATGAGCTCTAATACAATACTAACGCTTGCCGGAGGTCTTATACTTCCATGCACAAAACATCATTCTGTATAAAATCCTTGGGGTTGTGTTTTCCAAAACCAGCAGTATGCACCAGAAATGCAAAAAATCTCAATCGATGCCCCATGGCATCTTATGTAAGTGCCTGTATGAACCCACTGTCGATCAGAGTCATGAACCGATAATAGTACTTGACTCTCATCAAGAATCCACTCGATTGCGGGTTGACACTACTGTCGAGCCAATAAGAACCGCATCCTTCGAGTAAATCGCGTTTCCATTCCTTCAACTCCTCGAGATCCGGACAAGTCGTCCAGAAACCATGCGGTAGACCCTTGTAGACAAATCTCCGGGGCAAAATCCCCTCGTCCTGCAACAGCTCATCGAATAAAAAGTCTCGTCCCGACGGGGGTCCTACCCGCAGACATAGAACGCCGCCCGGAGAGCTATGTTTGCGTGGGATTCGAAGAGAAGCGGCGAGAGGCGTTTATCACTAGGCGGCGCTCCGTACTTCTCTGCTCATTAAGATTGGCTGTTAGGACCTCTCACTCACTCGTGGTTTGGATTAGGGTCTTGCGGAATCGGGACTCACTGGCGAAGTAGTCTATTGATTTCCTCATCAGGCCCGGCGCATCGTTGATCTCATCTACGCTGAGGATTCGATCCCGGGATTTCTCTGGTCGGGCGTCCGGGTGGCAGAAGCTGCCTGCTAGGAAGAGCAGCCCGGTCAGCTTGGAAGGAAGGTTATCTTGGGCTGCTAGATGGGCGATTCCGGCCGTGAAGTTTGCGCCAGCGGAGGTGCCGCCTAGGATGGATCCTTTGCTTAGGTCGGTTGATAGCTGCTGTGGTAAATCGTACTTAGTACCCACTTGGGAGTGGCTGTGGGGCCTGTGAAGTACTTGCTGCTAACATACCTGATCAAGACCGTAGAACGGTAGCGAGTGAGGCTGTGTTTCTTGGTCGAGAAGAAAGTTCGTGATAGCGGTGATTTCTTCTATTACAAGAGGCGGAGGGATTCCTGACATCCAATCTCTTTCATCAACCAGACAGAGCCTGCCATGTCACCCGGCATTTCTTCATTCTGTAACTTTCAATGCGTTTACTCGCAGATATACCTACCCGCAATATTCACATCACACTGGCAACATTGATAGACAGTCGAGATTATTAGATCATATCTCGATCAATGGTTATATCGTACACACAAATGATCCCAATTATACCAAGAATACAGATTTTCAATTCCAACCAGTACATTCGAAATAAACAGTAGAAGAAGAATTGTCTTCAAATAAAGTTGAGCACTAAAATCAGCCTTGCCAGTGATCATGTGACAGGCAGCCACCTCGTGTCCAAAGTGGCGATGCTACAATTGCAACCTTGACTCATTCTCCGTCGTTTGTAATCCTCACGGGATACGATTACTTTGCTTCTATATGTTCTAGTGTCTCAGGCCTCAGGTAAAGTGTCAATTCTGTGCGTGTTGCGTGTTGCGAATTGCGAGTCAGAAATAATGCCTGCCGCACCAGGTCCACAAGTGCTGGTCCTCCACCCCGGCAAAACCGAACGCTTGAATAGATTGGAAGATGATCGCATGCTTCAGACTGTATTTAGACTGGAAGATGAGAGCAGAGTAGCCCCGTACCACTCCAGACGACCTCACAAGAAGTCCAGGGCAGGTTGCATAACCTGTAAGAAGCGAAGAGTCAAAGTGTGCCCGTCATATCTCTAGTACTATTCATGTCGACAAGGCTAATTCTGGTAATATAGTGCGACGAGAGCAAACCGCATTGCCGGAGGTGTCAAGTTCGTGGTGTTGAATGTAGCTATGCGTCGGGGTCCGAGTCCTCCGGGTCTGACAATAATAGCCCTCTCGAGATGATATCAAGACCTCAGAAGCCTAGCACAACGGACTTTTCCTTGACTCTTGCCAGCATGACTGCGCAGATCGACGAGAGCCTGAGCATTGGATCGGACTTTAACGCCCCCAGCCTAACACAACCCTATAGTCTGGTGGCGTTTCAGCACTTCATGAAATGGTCTACGGCGTCAGTCGGGCTTCCTGCCATTAGGGCAGTGATGGAAAGCGATATGGTACAGGTGGCATTCAGTGTGAGTCTGAGCATTAATGTTTTTCACCCCGAGGATCTGGCGTCGCCTCTCGTTACTAAGGCAGTAACATAGACACCATACCTACTGTACACAATCCTTGGAGTCGGCATGCTTCATTTGAATCGTGCCTCCCGATCAAGAGACGCTGGCCAAAGATGCGCAGAGGCCCATTTCTGGCAGCAGGCCATCCGACTATACCAAGACGCATTACTACCAGGAGTCAATCAGAAGAACTTCGACGCCCTCATTTCGACATGCATGTTCATGGGCGTGGTGTCCATCTGTCCAGAGAACTTTGAACCTACCGATTCCTGGGTCCTTACGAACAACCCGGCCGACATGAACTGGCTCTGCCTGCAGAGTGGTCTGCGGTGTCTATTGGAACCAGCCGCTCGTTACCTCCCCGGGAGTATCTGGGAAACAGCATTCAAAGGATACGAGGAAGTCGAGTGTCAACTTTTCAACTACGATGACCAAGTCGGGCGACAAGGTCTCGATCCACTCTTTGCGGATTTTTGTGGCATTGATGACCTTTCTACTGCCATGACTAGCCCATATTATACTCCACTTAGGCAGATCACCACGCTTATTCAGTTGGATAAGAATATGCCTAATGCTGCCCGATGTACTACATTCATGGGGCGACTGGAATTTGAATTCCTGGATCTGCTTCGAAGCAGGGACCCGCCAGCTCTGATTATTCTTGCGCACTGGATGGGCTTGATGTGTTTGCTGACTGAATGGCAGCCCTGGGTCGAGGGGAGGTTGAGGAAAGAGTGTGCAGCCATTTGCATGTATCTGGAGCGCAGTTCAGATCCTCGGATCCCACCGCTGCTTGAATTCCCTGCTCTTGCATGTGGCTATGTCCAGCCTGTGAGTATAAGTTGATCATGAATGAATATTGCGTTACGAATGGGGGTTTGCGTTAGCGAGATTATCGCAGGAATCAATTTGGGCATCCAATGGATAGAGTATAGAATATTGCGTTATAGTTGCAAGAATAATCTGGATCGTGGTATGCCAACCACCTTACTCAACCTCGAATTCTTCTCGTCAGACTGAACAGATCGTTCGTTCGTGAGTTCACGTAGACCCCCAGTCTCTTTGGGAGAATTGCGCTTTTCCACGCGGTCAGACAGCAATTCTGCACTCTCTAGGTCATGGAATCACTCGGTACAGCCATTTCTTCGTCTCGATCAAGGAACAAAAATCAGGCATAAACCCTTCGCAAATATCTGGTATGTAAATAGATATGTACATCCGGACCTGTCGGTCCAACATCACAGCAACCTGGGGAAGCCTTCCAATGCAAAACTTTTTGAAAACAATATGCAAAGACCGCCGATCCGGGAATAGCCAAGGTACAGAAGAAACAATAGTAAACCAGACAGATAGAATACATACGCCACATCACCGTGATTCATCCCATGGACAAAATTACGCCTCCTTCGAGTTCGCGCCCGGAATGAACGGAACTTCGAATACAACGGCCCCATTGCGGCCATCCGCTGCGGACCCGTCGTGGTAGTTGTTTGCAAAGCACTTCCAACGTCCAAAACGGTGCTCTTTGCCGACGGCTGCCACTATGCAGAGACCGCGGGGCTCAGACTCCGCGGACTTCGACTTCGACTTGGACTTGGGCTCGGTTGATACCTGGCCGGGCTTGACCGAGTCGGCTCGTCGCTCGAAAACGGCAATACCGTTGACGACGCCCTTAACCAGTGGCTCGGGGGTGTCTTTGGACTCGTCGGTCTGTGGCGTATCGACAGCCATATGATCCGGGTTGGCAGGGGTGTCGAAAGCAAGAGACTGCTTCAACTGTGCGGACGGCGTATCGGGGGAGGACGCGTTTCCTCCTCCAATAGGTCCGAGGGGAATAATCGTCCGTTTATCTTCAGAAATCTTCCAGGCGCGAATCCAGCCATCCCAACTTCCACTGAGAACGATATCCGTACCCGGAACGGTGGTCAAAGCAGTGATCCAGCGAGGCATCCGTCGAAGAAAACGAGAATTTGCCGATGCAACCTCCTGGTCAACTTCATTCGAGAGCTCGTCGAGAGGAGGAATGGGGTCGAGTCCGTGGGCGAGCGGGATTGTATGGAGAGGCTTTTTCTTGTGAGTCGACCAAAGCGAGAGAGCACCAGAGTCTGAGCCAGTAACAAAATGACTAGGAGGTAGAGGAGCGACACAGTCGATGTTGTTTTCCTGGTATGAGTCTTTCTTGGATCCACCGCGGAACACCAGCTGCGATTCATCCACAACCTTCCATAGTCGGGCCGTACGATCGCGTGCGCCCACACTGATGCACTCGTCGATTGTCATTGCCGCCAATGACGAGACATGGTCCTGATGTCCAAACAGCGTCTCAACATAGGCGTGACCTGCAGAGCTCAAGGACCACGTTTTGATCGTGCGGTCAAAGGAACCGGAGAAGAGTTGTTCTCCAGAGCTCATGCTGGAAATATGACGAGCAAAGGCAAGCCCGCTGACCGAGTCTCGGTGCTGTGGAAAAGTCTGCAATGGCTTCAAGGTCGCTCCGTCCCAGATAATCAATTTGCGATCCTCCCCACCAGTGGCCACGAACTTCCCCGACGGCGAAACGGCGACAGACAGGATGCTCTTGGTATGGCCGTGCTCTTCCTCGCTCTCGGCGACCTTTTGCAAACCTCGCACGAACTTCACTTGCTTCGGCTTTTTACGCTGCGGTTTCGGGGGCCGTTTCGATGCGGTATCCTGATGGTTCGTCGTGTCGGCCGGGGTTGCAAGTTCCCACTTGATCAGCGTTTTATCCTTGGAGACCGTGTAAGCATAGGGCGGATGGACCGCGATAGATGTAGTCGTCTGGGTATCTGCTCGAAAGAAGGTAGGTGACGCTGTCGAGAAAGCCAAATCCGACGCAATTTGGCGGTACACTCGCCCTTTGAATTCGTCCTTCCGGAGCGTTAGAAACGCGCGGACCCACGAGAAAAGCACTGTATATCAATACATACCACATCCTCTTTCAGTCTCTCGGCAATCAGATCTCGGTCGATTTCCGCCGCATCGAACCCGACATCATCCACCTCATCCCGTACATTTTCCAGATATCTCTCGGCAAGTTTCAATCTTCGGTCCGCGGCCGTCTCTCCTTCGTCGGAATCCGAGCCACTCTCCTCGGACAGGGCTGATGCCTGGCCTGCCACGTCTTCCTCATCCAAGTCACTTCCCGAAACCGAGTCATCCCGTTCCCTCGAATTCTTATCTGCATCGACTCCTCGTTTCTTGGACGCGGGGGCTCCGGCGCGGTCTTCTCTCTTGCGCTTCCGCTGAGAGGCGGGCAAGGTGAAAAAGGACGACATGGCCCAGGATCGCTATTCTGGAGATTGCCGGAAGTCTGATTTGCGGTGATCAGCCAATTGGGACAGGCGAGCGTATGCGAACGGGAGAGATCCAAGTTGATCGGAAATGCATGAAGCTTTCGCTCTCACTTTTTTTCTGCCGGTGGCCCGTGCAGGCGGAAAGCGCAAGAATGTTACGCCTAAATGCTGAGTCACCCGCCCAGCTCTCCGCCTCAGGCTCCTAAGCAGCTCCCCAAGGCAGTCAAGCTCCGCGCGGCCAACGAGTAACCCAGACCCTTCCTCCAACTACCCCATCATCCGCCGTTTCTCTTTCTGCCCTTCTCCTCATTACCTGACCACCGAAATCAACCATGTATGTTCTAGGATCTCGTGCCAATGGATTTCACCCCCAGCTAATCGGTCGTTTGTTAGGGAGGTTCTACTGGGTATCACTGGCAAGGACTTTGTCCTTCTGGCAGCGTCTAAGGCCATCATGAGGGGTCCGACTATTATCAAGGCCGAGGACGACAAGACACGACAGCTGAGCAAGAACACCCTTATGGCTTTCTCGGGAGAGGCAGGAGACACCGGTTCGTATAACCGACCCAACCGCCGATGAGTTGTTGCATAGGTGAATGGAGCGGGCAAGCTGACATGGACCCGGGTACTAGTACAATTTGCGGAATACATCCAAGCCAACATCTCGCTTTATACGATGCGAAATGGCACCGAGCTGGGCCCGAACGCAGTGGCCAACTTTGTCCGAGGAGAATTGGCACAGAGCTTGCGATCGCGCAGTCCGTACACTGTCAACCTGTTGCTGGCTGGCGTGGACTCTATCTCCCAAAAGCCCTCGCTATTCTGGATCGATTACCTGGCCTCGTTGGCCCCCGTTCCCTACGCAGCTCACGGATACGCCCAGTAAGTGGAGAACCGGATGCCGGGTCATGTTGACCTCGGCGTTAAGCGCCGTCGGAGGAACAGGAACTAAACCTTTCTAGATACTACTGCTTGTCGACCCTCGATAAACATCACCATCCCGATATCACGCTCGAACAAGGCCTCAAACTCCTAGAGATGTGCACGGACGAGCTGAAGCGCAGACTACCGATCGACTACAAAGGAGTATGTTGCAATGGATATACCGCTCGATGGATACGAATTTTGCTAACAACGTCTAGGTCCTAGTCAAGGTCGTAACCAAGGATGGCGTGAGGGAGCTGGACTTTGATAATGACAGGATCGTCAAGAGTGCGTAATGCGGTGTTGTATCATACCAATATCATCATGTCTTTTGTTTTCGGCTTTACGGGACCTGGTTTTCTTTAACATTTTTTTTTCTCTTCCTTATTTTTCAAGAACGAGTGCATGGCAAAAAATCAATTCGATGAAGTAGAACTCGACCGTAGCTGTCATGGTAGATCCCGGCAAGGCGATGGTAGACCAGCCATATGTCATAGTGTCGGCCGGCAGTTTGTCTTGTTTGCACCCCACCGCCCATCGCGTTTTCGCCGGTTTCGATTCCCGCGCCGGTTCCCTCTTTCAATCCCCTTCACCAAATCATGATGCCCAAGAGACAAGCGGAGTTGTCGCTGGAGGAAGACCTCCCGGCAGGCTCTCCTGCATCCAAGAGAGTCCGCGTGGAGGATGAAGCCTCCGAACAAGAAAACCCGAGCCACGGGGCCCTACCGCTGCGCCGAGCCAGTGGACAAGAGACCGAACAGCACGAGCGCAATGAAGAGAACATCCTTGCTGCAGCCGATCAGGAGCAAGAGGTGCTAGCCGAAGCAGCACAGAAAGAGGAGAGTGAGTCCTCCGACGGCGACGAGGAGGACGACAAGCCGGTGATCGCGGCTCCGCAACGCCAATCGCAACCCATAGAGGGCTACAGCGACCTGTACCTCGACACCATTAATCGCGGCATCCTCGATTTCGATTTCGAAAAGCTGTGCTCAGTCAGTCTGTCCAACATCAACGTATATGCCTGTCTCGTGTGTGGCAAATATTTCACAGGCCGAGGACCCAAATCGCATGCCTACTTTCATGCTCTTGAAGTCGGACACCATGTCTTCATTAACATGGGCACCAAAAAGGTCTACGTTCTCCCGGAGGGATACGAAGTCCAGAATAAGAGTTTGGAGGATATCAAATACGTGGTGGACCCTTATTACACCAAAGAAGAGGTCTCGAAATTGGATAAAGAGGTCCACGATGCGTTCGATCTGGCTGGGGCCCGCTATAGACCAGGTGAGGATGGAATAAAATGCTGCTCCCGACCCCCTTAGTTCATGGCACTAATTCTGGTTTTAGGCTTCGTGGGAATGAACAACATTAAGGCGAACGATTATTTTAACGTGGTGGTTCAGCTCTTGGCCCATGTTTTCCCGGTTCGCAATTACTTCCTGCTCCATGATTTCCCAGCGCTGGGAACGCCACAATTAGTCCATCGCTTCAGCACCCTCGTGCGGAAATTATGGAATCCCAAGGCCTTCCGATCCCATGTCTCGCCGCATGAACTATTACAGGAGATCGCTATCCGATCATCGAAACGTTTCACCCTCACCCAACAGTCCGACCCTGTAGACTTCCTGTCATGGTTCCTCAACAACCTACATTTAGCCCTCGGAGGTTCCAAAAAACCCTCGAAGAACCCAACGAGTGTGATTCAGGCCGCTTTCCAGGGTCACCTGAAGATCGAAAGTCAAGCGATCACGGCTCATTCTGATACCCAAAATGCCCGTCTGGTCTTCACCGAGTCTGGCACCATCAACAGCCAAACTATCCCCTATCTTATCCTCACTCTGGATTTGCCGCCGACTCCTCTATTCCAGTCCTCCAATCGCGAATCCATCATTCCCCAGGTCCCGTTGACCACTCTCCTGAACAAATACAACGGAATCACAGCCTCGGAGAAACTCGCTCATCGAGTTCGGCATCGTCTCCTCCATCCCCTCCCGCCTTACCTCTTCTTCCACATCAAGCGATTCAGCCAGAACCGGTTCGTCTCAGAGCGGAACCCCACGATCGTTACCTTCCCGTCCCCTCGCTCCCTCGACATGTCTCCCTACGTCGAACCTAAACCAGAGATCTGGCCGCCAGGCGAGCCGATCCTCTATGACCTTGTGGCCAACATCATTCTTGACCCCACGGTGGCCGCCCCTGGAGCAACCGACGAGGCGGCAGCAGATAAGGGCGTCAACGCGGCCGGCGGGTCATCGTCTTCGGGGGCCGGCGGAGGCAGCGAAAAGGTTGCCTGGCTCGTTCAGCTGCACGATAAGGCGATGGAGGCGGAGAACACCCGGCACCAAACCCAGCATGCTGGAGAGCAGCGGGGACCGGAATGGTTGGAGATTCAAGATCTGTTTGTGAAGCGAGCCGAAAGTGAGACTTTGTTCACCAGGGAAGGATATTTGATGGTCTGGGAGCGCCGAAAGGTTCCGGGCATGTCGAATCGAAAGGGCAAAGCTGCTGCCAAATAAATAATGGGCAGTTGATAAGATAAAACAAAAAAGACATTTACGCATGTATTTTTTGACCGGGAATCTTCGACGAGACTTGGTGTTGAGGTAGCTTTTGTATAATTACAAGTCATGCTTACGATAGGCAATTTTCTCTTTCACCGTGCATTGCGATTTTTTTTTTTAAAAAAAAAAAAAAAAAATTAAGAACAGTAACACGGGAAATGAAGCTCCTTCGACTAAATTGAACTAGAACTGATGTTCTCATTAACTGATAGTTGTAATGTATACTATACAAGACTCATAGAGTGCCCCAGCCACAAAACTTCCTGCCAATTTTGATAGCGGTGCCGGAAACGATGCCCCAAACGCTAGCATTCACAGCGGCTTGCATGCCTACCATCAAGGCCATTTTCCCCATGTAGGCGGTGATATCAGTTCGCGAGCCACCGCCACCCCATGCACCCAATTCACGAACTTCAGAGCTCAACGCAGGAGATCCTACGGATGATAGATAGGCGGAAGCAACCGAGCGCAGATAGAGGGATTCGAGCGGGAGGAAAAGCACACCCGTGATCATAGAAGCAAGATGGGACGCGAGAGAGTCAACAGGGTGAGAAGAAAGAATCGTGACTCGGTGAGCGATGGAGGAGGTAGTACTAGCGGCTGTTTGTTGGCGAACATTGGGGTCGGATATCCGGGGGTATATTTCTGAATCGAAGTCGTTTTCATGGGCGGGTTCCGTCCCAGGGTTTCCATCATGGTTGTCCTCTGGGCCTGGCTCCTCCACACTGTCAGGCAAGATGCTGCCTAGCGTTGACACTGGCTCTGGCCCAGTACCTGAGGTCGTCTCTGCCCTTGGGTTCAACTGATTGGGTGTAATGACCATTGGGCTTTGTCCGGCTTCGGGTGAAACAGCGGCGGTTAAGTTAGAGAGTCCATCACTGTCAGCTGTGTCCGGGTTGACAATAGCGGCCTGACCTTGGTTGGCTAGAAGTGCATCCAGTACTTCCGAGAATGATCGACGGCCGGTTGGTATACCATTAGCATTGGCCTGGTCGGCGTCAAGCGCCGTTCTGGTGATAAGTTGGCCATTTCTTGGTGTATTTCGGGGATTCAAAAGTTCTAGCTGCATTGTGATAACCTCTGAGTTCTGGTGGATTAAGGAAGCTCGAACACGAGGTGAGGTTGGAGAGGACGTTGCGGGAGATGACGGTCGAGAAAATAGAGTATTAGAGCGTGAATTCCGCCGGCTCTCAGAGACATCTTCGCGGCGATTCTCCTCTGCGTCGTCCGCAATGGCGGATGAGTTGTTGATGGGAGCCACATCATTTACTCGGTCCAGTAGAGCCAAGTCAGGGAATTCCCCAGCACTCATTTCTGCGGGTGATTGAGAAATGGGATTTTCTTCACCATGCAACACTCGATCGCGACTAATATCGCTCACGTTGGCTGCCAGTGTTCCAGAAGCGACTGGTTGAGCACGGATCACTTCTTCCGGGGGAGGAGGAACCGTCGACTGAAGCTGTAGTTGCCGGGCTCTAGTCTGTCTTTCGTTTGACAGTTGCTCCACGCTTAACGGTAAGGATTCGAGCCATTCTCGCCTGCGTCGTGTATCTGACACTTGCTCTGGTGCCCGTGATATCCGTTGCTCCTTGAAACCAAACCAGGATAGAACCCATCTCCGAAGGAAATTCACTTCGTACAATATGTCCTCGGCAAAGGACATATTACTCCGGCGGTTCTCCTCTTCAGACCGTCGCCCAAGGGTTGGAACCATCCAGTCGATAAGGTCGTTGTCAGATGCCACTTTGATAGAAAGCTCATCGGCTAGCGTAGGCTTAGGCAACCGCCTCCGGATTAACCGATAGAGCCTTATTTCTATGACCGGGCGCAGGTACATATAAACATAGAGCAAGAGCGAGGGCGCTTTTGCCAAGGTTAAACAATATCCACCAAGCGACTGAAGAGAGAAGTCTGCAGGTAAGGGGGGGAATTGAATAGCGGCCATTTCACCGAACGGGATGAGAAACCTAGCTGTCGGGAAGAACGACGAAGGCACGAGATGGAGGGCTTGTAATAATGAATACATGTATGTCTGCACAGCTAAAACAAGCAAGGTTCCTCTTGTTCTATAGATTCTGTTAGCTGTCGGCTTTTCAAGGGATACCGCGATCTACACACGCAGAATGCAAGATATTGAAAGATGCCCGCACAATCTTAGACAATGCATCGTCATCAGGAAAGCGGCTTTGAATCAGTGAAATTAGACGCTCCAGTGGATGATGTCGGCAGATAGACAGGCATGTCCACATAGCCCAGGCCGGAATCCCCGCGAAATAAAATCCATGTATCCCAAGGAATGCACGCTCACGGCCCATGATGCCCAGCAGAGGAGCGTGCGTGTAGCTTTTGAAAGTCTAAAGATCCAACGTAAGTTTATTATGAGGAAACCAACATTTGGTGACTACAATTCAGCATCAGACTTACTTGTATCCGGCCTGCTAGTGACGACGTCCACCATGTGCCAAGGAAAACCGAAACTTGGTCTATGGTAGCCATCACCAATCCGTAATCATTCTCAGCAGCCAACATCTCGGCTCTTTGCTGTTCACTAGGGCCACCAGTGTTCCCATCTTCGCTAACGACGATTCCCATGGTGGAAAGAATGTCATTTTTAGCTCTTCGGAGCTCTCTACCGAATACTTTGGATTCATGATTGACTGGATGACCTCTTTCATCGTAGTCTTGGACATAATCGTCCGCATACAAAGTTGATCTCCTTCGCTGGGCTGAGGGAGCAAGATCTGCGGTAGATCCTTCGGGACGCTCTGGAGCTTCATATGGGGACCGGCCCTGGAACAAGTTCGGTTAATCAAGCATCCCAAGATGATGAAGCCAGGTTGCGACATCAAGAAATAGATAGGTTGAAGATCACGAGTGTAACACAATCGTATAGTATTAAATACAGCGCAAGAGAACATGCATCAGGAGAGGCAGAGTACAAGACTTCTATATTTTTTGGTTTCAAATATGGGATATGCCAGAACTCGAATACAAATGAGAGCATCAAGGGACAGGGGAGAACACTATGACGCCAAATATCAAAGCTGCAGTAAAGGCCCAGGATCAAGGATGGGTAAGAACAGAAAGTTGGAGCCTACCAGAGCCAGTCTATTCAAATACGCTTGTCGCCCCATCACGTCGCAGTATGATGGAGTTCATTCCCGGAACTCAAGCAAGCATTTTGTCCGGAGGAAGTAGAACTTGCTGATGATGGTCAACGAGGAAGTTGTCGATTTGCCCGCCTCGGTCTTTCGTTGCAGCGGCTGCAGCGGCAGGGGCGGTTGCCGCACGGGCCACTGCCGATCGGGGATTTTTTTGCGACAAACAGACCAAACATCTCGAAAAAAGATTCAGAAGTTTCCGCGCAACGACACCCTCGACGCTCAGCAACTCCCTCGCTTTCGATCGGTGCGGTTTTGTCTGGAGTGTATGATGGCGCAGTAGTTTACCAGAATCAATCCTGTCGAAAACCCCCCACAAGCCATGTCGAAAGCTGTTGTCAAGACGACCTTCGAGGCGTCTCGGACCCTTCGTCCTATCTACACCGGAGGAAGTACTGCGCTGGATGCCAGTGGGCGATTGCTGGTCACCTGTGTCGGTGAAGATGCCCTTGTTGTGGATCTTGAAACCGGTGATCAACTGGCCAGCCTCGAAGGAGTGAGTCGCATCCTTTTTCCCCCACTACGAAGCGCAATTTGTTAACGAAGTATAATAGGATGGAGAAGTCATTATCAGCTTGGCCAGTATGTAGTTGAGCAGTGTCTTTGACTGTTGGATTTTACTAATTTTTCTTTTCTTCAGTCACTCCGTCGGCCTCCCATGTCATTGTCTGCTCGCGCTCAATGGCCATGCGCATTTACTCTCTGACGCCTTTCGATGACACCTCTCGGACGATTGAAGCGGAACTTGTTCGAAGCCTCAAACCTCATACGTCGCCGGTTGTCACCACCGCAACGGATCCTACTAGCACATTTGTGGCCACTGGTGCCGCCGACGGGTCTATTAAGATTTGGGATGTTCGTCGTGGCTACGCTACGCATACCTTCCATGGCCACGGCGGTGTCATTTCGGCTCTGTGCTTCTTCCAAATACCGTTCCACGACCAAGAAGACAAGTCTTCTTCTAAGAAGAAAAAGTCGAAAAGCAAATCAAATGATGACGATTCGGATGAGGAGATGGAGGATACCGGTCTCAACGGTGTGGACTCGGCCGATATCCTTCGGTTGGCCTCTGGAGACGAAGAAGGCACAGTACGAGTGTGGGATTTGAAAAAGAGGAAGCCCATAGCTACACTTGAATCCCACGTGTCGGTGGTCCGAAGCTTGTCCTACTCTCCGGCGGAGAATGCGCTGCTGTCTGCTGCGCGAGACAAGACCGTGATCGTTTGGGATGTTCGCACATTCAAGACGCGTAGGATCATTCCGGTCTTGGAGAGTGTGGAAGCGGCTACTTTTGTTGACGACAGTGGGCTGTGCGTGGTTGGAGGCGAGAATGGTAAATTGCGCGTATGGGACTGCAACCGAGGAGGAGAGGTGACCCATGAGCAAGAAGCGGGAGAGGATTTCGAGGCAGTCGTGGCCATTCAATATTCCCCGGGTATGCCGTTCGCTATAACAGTCCATGCGGACCAGACACTGCGTCTTCACTCGCTCGAACCTCTGTCCAACCTCAAGCCCGGCTCTTCGATTGAGCCGCTTCCCGTTATCAGGCGTATCTCTGGTAACGACGACGATATCATCGATCTTGCTTATGTCGGGCCTGACCGGTCCATGCTTGCACTTGCTACAAACACCGAGAGTATCCGAGTCGTTTCGGTAGGACCGTCAAACGACCGGCCGTCTGTCAGTGAAGAGGATTATTTTGGTGCGGACGTCACTCATCTGGAAGGCCATGACGACATTATCATCTGTATCGATGTGGACTGGTCCGGTCACTGGTTAGCCACAGGTGCCAAGGATAACACGGCACGTCTTTGGCGTTTAGACCCAAAGACTTCGTCCTACGCCTGCTTCGCAGTCTTGACGGGTCATGCTGAGTCTTTGGGCGCTATCAGCTTCCCTCGCGTCCCTCCGCCAGCCAACACCCCGGCGCATGATGACCCCGTGAATCACCCCCCATCTTTCCTCCTCACTGGTTCCCAAGATCGTACCATCAAGCGATGGGACCTGGGAAAACTGACCCCTCTTCAATCCTCGAAACCACACTCTGCTAAGGCGATATACACCCGCAAAGCTCACGAAAAGGATATCAATGCCCTGGATGTCAACTCGTCCTCCACCCTATTTGCGTCTGCCTCGCAGGACCGTACAGTCAAGATCTGGTCCGCCGACGATGGAGAGGTAATTGGTGTCTTGCGCGGTCACAAAAGAGGTGTCTGGTCTACACGCTTCGCGCCCCGGGGTACTCCCATTCTCACCACCGAAGCTCGGAGTAGCACAAACAGAGGTTTGATTGTCACAGGATCTGGTGACAAGACCGTCAAGGTCTGGAGCTTGTCGGACTACAGCTGTCTCCTTACGTTCGAAGGTCACACCAACAGTGTGCTCAAAGTCCTTTGGCTCCCGCCTCCGGACCTGTCTAGCAAGGATGAGGATGAAGAAGATGAGTCGGCCCCGACTCCGAACGTGGCAGCTCAAGCACGGCCGCTCGTTGCGTCTGCTGCTGCCGATGGTCTCGTCAAGGTCTGGTCTCCTTATAGCGGAGAACTAGAAACCACACTCGATAACCACACGGATCGAGTGTGGGCCCTCGCCAGTCCCACGCCATCTGGCTCGCGTGCCGATGCTTTGACTTCGTCCACCCAGAACAGCTCTTGCCCCTTTGCGCTTGCCTCTGGCTCTGCCGATTCCACCGTCACATTCTGGACCGACACTACCTCTGCCACCTTTACTGCCACCGTCAGCGCAAACTCTGCCCGCGTCGAACAGGACCAGCAGCTGGAGAACTACATCAGGGCAGGCGCTTACCGCGAAGCCATCACGTTGGCCCTTCAACTCAACCACCCAGGACGACTTCTTTCTCTCTTCACAGCCGCCATCGATGCCGCTGATGACCCTTACTCCACTGATCCCAAGAAGGAAGAACGCGCCAACAGCTTGACCGGCGATCCCTCCATCGATCACGTCCTTCAAACCCTCGGCTCCGAACACCTGCGTAACCTCCTTATCCGCCTGCGCGACTGGAACACCAACGCGCGCACCTCGCGGGTGGCTCAGCGCATCCTCTTCGCTCTATTCAGGTCCTATCCCGCCTCGACTTTCACCGAGCTCGCAAGCTCCACTATCGCCAGGCGCAGTGACAACGGCCGTACCGCAGCCGCCATGAAGGACATCCTACAGGCATTAGCCGCGTACACCGAACGTCACTATCGTCGGGTCGAAGAGCTCACGGACGAGAGCTACCTTGTTGAATGGGTCTTGGGAGAGATGGACGGTGGAATCGGGTTAGGGGCACTGGGTGTTCCGGAATCGGACGATGTCCCTGAACATGAAAAGGATGTGCTCATGCATGGAGCATAAAAAAAAAAGGGAACTTCCTTCTCCTTTCCCCCCCTGTGAATGAGGCTATGTAAAAATAGACAGGATGGTTTTCTTTATTACTCGGCGCGTTCTACTGGAGTCCCATTTGCTTTTTTTTTTTTTTTTGGTTTTTTGGCATCTCAGATTTCTTGGGAGAAGATAATGTATAAAGGAAAAAAAGTTCTTTTTTATGTCTATCAGCGTCTCGCTTCTATATATACTTATTTGGATTCCCTATTGACAAACCTTTCGACATGGTCCAAGGTGCGATTTTGGTGGCTTGCATCTGGAAAGCTTCGTCGAGTGCTGGGTTGATACGGCACCGTACGTGAACAGATACTTCTATAGACTGTTCATTAGGCGTATTCTGATTTCCCAAGTTCCTAAACCGTGTTCGACGATCGGTTCAAGTGACGGATTATGCCTGACTCTTGAGGGTCTGGTCGTGGATACCAAGAAGTGGTTACTCTTGCAAAATTGGGTCTGCCTCAGGCAAGATGCTCATATTGGTAGAATATAACGATATATGTGGATTTTTATGAGGCCCGATACCATCAATCGTCGTATCTTCTTCGACGGTGCGAGTCGCGATCACTGTCTCGGTCTCGATCCCGGCCGTGTCTGCTAGAAGTACTCGACGAATGTCTCGAGCTATAGCGATCATCATCTCGATAGCGATGGCTCCTATCACGATCCCTATCACGATCCCGGTCTCGGTCACGACGGTCGCGGTCGCGATCTCTGTCTCGTCGATGTCGGTCCTCTCTCCGGTCACTATCAACCTCACGGTCATCGTATTTCCGCCTCGAGTACCGATCCCCAGAAGATCGACTTCTGTCTCGCCGTGAAGACCCCTTCTTCCGTCTGTCGTAACGATCGCTGTCATCCTCATCGTCGTAATCCCGCCGGCGATACTCCCGATCCCGGTCTCGATCACGGCCATTCTTTTCCAGGTTGCGATCCCGTCTCTCTTTCCAGTCATCGTCGTCGGGCTTCTTGGCCTCCTTCTTCGCGGCCGCGAGCTCTTCTTCCGTCGTAAATGAGCCCGTCTTCTTATTCTGCATGAGGACCGGCATATAGACGCCTTCGGTATTATTCTCGCCCTCCTTCCCCGCCTTCCTAGACCCCTTGCGCATCGCAGCTTTTCCCCAGGCCCCAAATTCCGCCTCGGCGCCCTTCCCCTTGATAGATGTATCCTTCGCGCCAATCCCCAGAAATCCAGGCCGACGCTCAGGAACCCGTGGTTTATCCGCGCCCGCCGAAGGAGAGCCGTATTTCCCTTTTCCGACCGATTGACCTTCCTTCCAGCCCATACCGCGGAGCAAGGCGGCGCCAAACTCCTCCACGGGCACTGCATTGTACTGATCCAGCGACGCGGGCTCCGGTCGCGCCGCAATGTCCGCCCGGAACGAGGACGTCTCATCGAAGCGGGAATCCTGGTCCGCCGACTCAATCACCAGATCCGACCGAGCCTCCGCCTCCCCTTTACTCTCGCGGATCAGCGCATTCATCGCGATTTCATCCTGTGTGAGCGGTTTGCGCGGTTCCCGCTCGGCATCCGCATCGGCGTCCTCCATCGTCTGATTACCATTCGTCGCCGTCTCCGTCACCGTCGCGGATCCCTCAAGCCCCTCTGCCTGCGGCGCCGTCTGCGCAAAACTCAAACCATAAGACACGCTAGGACCACTCGTCTCGAGATTCTCGCCCGCGACCTCACCGCGCTTCTCAGCCTCCCGCATCGCCTGGACTTCCTTTGGAAGCAAATTCTTCCCCTTCGGCCGAAGGTTGACGCCCGGGCGTCTGCGCCAGTTATTGTTGCTTGCGACGGGGATTACCAGTTCGCGGGGCTCGTTCGATCGGTCCGCGGGGATGGCGGTGCCGGTCATGGTGTCGAAGCCGGTGACGGCCTCGTGAGCGGGGCCACGGCTGTCGGCGTCGTCATCGTCGGACTCGTCGTCATCCTGTAGGTTGTGGGGTCGGCGGGGGAGATTTCGTTTGTTGGAGGCGTCGGGCTGCTGTCGAGGCGTCGATTGCATGTTGAATGAGGTTTTCTTGGAGCCATTCGCAGCTGGTCGGCCGCCGATGGACATGCTGAATGGTTTTGCTGAGGAGGATTCCGACGGCCTGTCGCCGTCCTGCGGCGGCTGAGACGAGGACATGGCGGGAGAGCCTCTGAATGTGTTACTTATGAAACAGGCAGACGCGAGTTGGCAAGTATCAAAAGCAAGAGGGAAGCGTGACGGAGCGGGTGGCGAAAGCTCCGGCTTAAGCGCGCGCTTAAATATGATCGGCCGACTGAATATGGAGAGCTCATTACTACTAGCTACACATTAAATCGATTATATCTCGGGTTCTGCTATTCTTTTCTTTGCTCCGGAACACTAATCATACAATCGTAGTGGTATTTCATTCCATTCCATTCCTTGCGAATTCCAACCTTCCAATCCAATCCCCGTACCGTGGTAACCGCTTTATCAATACATGTAGTACAAAACCTTGGGAAAATAACAAAAATAACTTGAAAATGACGATAAAAGGCCCGGAGGAACAAACATACTGGTCTTATGTCTAGACGGCCAGAAGTTCCAGGCAATTCAATGCATGTCGGTGCAAAACTAAACCCGAGATCGACCCCAAGGGTAGAGCCATCATGGAATAGTTCGTCAGAGAGAAGGGCGGAATAGGGATTAGGAGGTAACATGGGTGAGGGCATAAATGGGCCAGACAGCATAAAGGTGAACTCCATCAGTTGCATTGAACCGAAAGACAAACAGTGGTTGGGGTAATAAAAGGGTATGGTGAAAAAGTGACAATATTTACAGTTGAAAATTAGAAGAGAAGTGTAAAAAGGGAGAGTACAATCGTGTGATGTCCACCTTAGTTCCCGGCAGTCTGTGCCTGCGGTGGATTGGGGCTCTTGCTTGAACCAGGCATGGGTCCAGCCTGTGCACTACCGCTGCGTTGATTCTGCGGCGTTGCGCTTCGACTAGGCTGGGGAACCGTTCCGTTCATAGCAGGTGAGCTTCCGACGCCAACTCGGCCCTGTTGCGTATTTTGTGCCACGCGCATCATGGGCGAAAAGCCTTGTGCTTGCGGTACCTGCATCCCCGGGCCCCCGTTCATGCCAGATTGAGGAGGTTGGAAGTTGCCATCGTGAGATACTTGGTAATTGGCCGAGACAGCTCCGATATTACCGGCGGCAGCGGTCATGGCAACTTGGGACATGCGCGATTGCTGATATTGATGCAACCTATCCGTGGCAAGTTTGTTCACCTGCTCAGGGGTCATGTTTGGATTGTTCCTTTGTATCTGATTTTGAAGGCTGCTGATGGTGGGTACAACGCCGTTTGAGAGGAGATTGGGCTGGCCCATGCGAGGAGAGGGGGTCGACACGCCTTGAGGTGTGCCGTTGGGGAAGGATGGGCTTTGCATGCCGCCTCCGGCTTGAAGAGCAGCCATCATAGCAGGGTTGTTCGGGGCACCATTGGTATTAGACATATTCAAGTTGGGAGAATGCGATCCCTGTGGCACAAACTGCTGCTGGTTGTGGAACTGTTGCTGAGCATGCTGGGGTTGAGCTTGTTGAGGCGGTTGCGGTTGCGGCTGTTGTCGAGACTGCAGAACCCGTTGTTGCTCCTGCAAACGGTTTGCCTCGCGAAGGACTCGCGCATTGTCCGGGGACGTCTGCATTGGCAGAGTAGTACGATTTCCTGCATTCTGGGCCATACCGGACTGCGGCATCATTTTCATCGCCATGGGATTTGGAGGTACCGAGCTATTCACAGGTCCACCGGGCATTCCTTGCATTTGGGGTCGTCCTGAGTTCACTCCAACCCCAGGTGGTATTCCATTCGGTAGTCCATTCGGTAGTCCATTAGGCATTCCATTCGGCATCCCATTCGGTGTACCACCGGGCATTGCAGGGGTTCCTGGGTTGTTAGGCACACCATTCTGGTTTCGCCCAGGAGCATTCATCATTTGTTGTTGGTTGGGAATCTGACCAGCGCGCTGAGCCGCCAAGTTCGCCTGAATTTCATGTCAGTCCAATCCGAAATGCCAGACACAAAAGATGGGCACTCACTCTTTGCTGGGCGATCATTTGCTGGCGGTAGTGCTCTTGCCTCTCTTGCAGCTTCACATCCCGCTCATACTTCAGCCGACTGAACTCAGCTGGCGTCGACAGTGGCGGCTTCGGTTGATTTGCTTCGTTGACTTTCCTAAGCGATGCCAATTGAGAAGCTAAACCCGGTCGCGAAAATTAGTCAAATTTGTATTAGATGCAGTCAGCGTTGTCGTTCTTACCGTGTTGCTGCTTTTGCAGCATTGTTTCACGTTTTTTTGCCAACTTCCGCATTGCGTCAAGCATGGCGAGGTGCTTAGAAGATCTTCTCCGATCAACACGAACTGGTTGTGTGGTTCTTCTCCTGACTGGCAGCGGTGCCTGGGGGTTGGCGTTGCCCTGTTGTTGTTGCTGCTGCTGTTGCTGTTGTTGGGCAGCCTGCTGCTGTGCTAAGACGGTGCGCTGCGCTGTCTCCAATCGTTGATGATAAGCTCGGAAATATTGTGTCTTCGACAAGTCAGCTGGCAATCCTTCCAAGCCAACCCAACGTTCGAAACATTCCCAAGGTGTTCGTCTCTCTGCCCCAGAGGTGAATTGAGATGAATGGGTAAGGCAGCTTGAGATGAGCGACCAGTTGTAAGCATATTCCTTCACAAGCCGGCGCAATTCATCATCTTCCGCATAGGTCCACTGGGACGAATTTCGTGACTCAAAAAATCCCACTGATGGCATGCTATACTCAGCCGGCGGTCTGAAACCATGGCCCGGGTGGATCCGATCACGGATGTGCTTATTCTCGGGCCGGAATAATGCTACATTGGTTTGCTCTGGAGGAAGCTCCAACACGCGATGCTCCGGGTCTGATTGGTACTGCGAATAGTCATACCGGCTCCGCTTGCGAGGCGGTCCCTCTTCGTTGAACGCTATTTTGCCTGGTACGTACTTCGAGAGAGGCAGGAGCTCGGTCTTCCAGGAAGAATCCGGGGGCTCTTTAAACTCCGGAAGGTTTGTATCAGGGGCGAGATTGACGGGGGCATAGATTGGCAATTCATCCAAGAGCTTCTGGGCTGCCGGTGTCATATCGAGAGAGAAATTAAACTCATCGGAACCAAGCGAGAATATTGCGGCTGGCGCAACAATATCATGAAGATCATGACGAGGCTCGTCATTGTAACCCTCGCTAAGCGAATCGTCCTCCATCGAGGGGACTAGATCCGGAGTGGGATGGGATATTCCAAGCACTTCATCGCCGGTCTCGTCTGGAGGCGACATAATATTTGATTCGGTGGCTTCCTTCAATTTCGGCGCTGAAATTCTGGCGTTGACACGAAGCAAAGACCGATGTTCTTGATCACTATTGACGAATTCCGCACACCAGTCCGCGCAGCTTTTTGCGGCGGCGATCTTCCACTTTCGCTCTTCTCGGAAATCGGTACGCATCCACTTCATATGATCCAAAAGAACATCCCAATGAGAGCCCTGGCGAGGTGGCTCCACGGATCGCTTGAGTTGGCGCAAAGGCCATCTATTCGCATTTTGAAGAGCGTAGATGCGCCGCAAGGTGCGACTGTCCATTTGTTCATGATACTCAAGGAGGTGGTTTTCGGTTGTCAATGTTTTATGCGCGGATGCTAATAGAGTGTTAAGAGTCGAGCCTCGAGGTGGAGTATAAGCCCTGTTTTGAAACAGAATGTAAAGGTAATCTTGCTCCTCATTTAGCCTAGCAAGCTCACCGGACTGCTGACGAATAAGATCCATCGAGTCATTTTTGTCTGGTTGCGGTGGTTGCTTCGGAAACACAACTGTGGACAGCTTGCTCCGTTCTTTCTCTCGTGCTTTTCGGTCTTTGAGGCGCATCTTAGCTGCAGAGGTGGACGAAGAATCAGAGGCAGATCGTGTGCCGTCGGCGGGCTTTTCAGTAGCATGGCCTTTATCGAGGGGTGATAGAGCTGATTTCGGGGTTTCTCCAAGGATCTCAGACACTGACTTGTGCCTGATGGCGCCCGAGGATACTCTAGTTATCATTCTCTCGGGTTGGGACGATACTGACGGGGCGGGCGGAGTGTCTTTCTTCGATAGCGGAGTTGCTGGCCCTGCGGTTGGCTCGACCGGAGATGTAGTCTGCACGGGCTTCTGTTGACTCAAAGCGGGCGATTCCTCAGCGGCTGCAATCGCTCCCTCAGGTTTAATAGGCTCGGGTGGTGCGGGTGCAGATACTGATTCTTCGCGCTTTTTCGACGAATCTTCGGGACCTCCCAGTGCCGGAACAACATTCTCCTGGATCACTTCGTTTGTTGAGGGTAAATCATCATCGTCATCCCCAATGGCCTTACTCGCCGCAAGAGTGTTTTGCTGGAGTGACTGGGCCTCCTCTAGGCGAAGCTGTTCATCCGGTGTGGAAGGAACCAGCGTTGGGGGAGCTTGGGCAGGCGTTTCAGGTTTCTGTTCTGGAACAGCGTTGTTCGAAGTCTCGATCGAATCCTCAGCAGGGCTTGTATCTGGAGACGCGCCGGCGGGAATAGGCGTGTTGCTGGAGTAGGGACCACCCGAGGAAATGGGAGAGAGCGGCTGCTCAACGTGAACTTGGCTTCCAGTAGTGACAGACGACCGTTTCCCGAGGTCCTTGCGCAGGGATGACACTTCACTGCTTCCCGGAGCAGCATCGACCGCGCGATTCGGTTTCGATTGAGCTGGCGAGACATCACCCACTGCGCCTTCCTGGCCTTGGGTACTCGTTGGTCTCTGGGGAATCGACTGAGGTATCTTCAGTTCGAAATCAGACTCCGTCGGCTTGTCAGCTACTGGTGTGGATACCTCGGGTCCTTGGGGTGTCTCAGATGCGATGGCCGGTGGGGGTTGAGTAGGAAGTTGGGTCGCTTTCAATTGTTCTGGCGCAGGAGTCGCGGGCTTCTGGTCTGGTAGCTGCTGGGCTTGTGCTTTCGGACGATCTGTGCTCGCGACAGGCTGAGGAGCAGAGGGCCTTCCTGCCGGTGGACTGATTGGGGTGGCATTGTTTGATTCAGACGGCACCTCAGCAGGCGGTGCTGTTTCCTTGATCTCGCGTTGTCGGAGCGCTGCATAGTTAGAGAAGGGCGGTAGCGTAGCTTCGTTGAAGAAATGGCCTCTGTAATATAACCATCAGCAACGCGCGCATGTATACTATGTAATGAAACAGTACTATAGAGATAATTACAAAAAACTAAAGACACAGAAGTGAAGAGAAGGGAAAAGACAAAGATAAACATGAAGATGAAGATCAATAATATTGAGTGAAAGAAGCCAGAAAGAAAAAGAAAGGGAACGCGCAGGGTGGGACTTACTTGGAGAGGTCGTTGGCGTCGAGGAACGCCTGTTCTTTCTGGTTATATAACGGGTCCGCCGAAGCGCTCTCGGTCGCGCCCGCGAAGCCTACGGTCGCAAAGTAGAGCTCGCTCAATTTGCGCTTCCGCGACAACAAACAACGTCTAAAATTCCAAATAAGCGATAAATCGACATTGGGGAAGGTAGAGTAGAGTAATGGGTCGCCGGGAGAAATTAAATACTTACGCGATCTCATCGTTCTTAGACTGGAGAAGCTCTTCCCGGAGCATCGAGTCTATTTCGGGAACACAGCATCCGATTAACGCGCTAAAATAAAGGGGGATGGATTGAGCGAAGTCATCCAGATGGAAAAAATCGCTCGAAAATGATGGAAATGATGTGGTTGTGTTGTTATGGGATGTGAAAAATCAAGACGCGCAACGATATGGCCTGAAGGGATTTTTTTTTCTGAGGGGGATTGGTAGAGAGATCTCAGACGGGTAGCAACCTTTTGGGGGGGGTGGGATTGTGGTTGGTTGGCAGGCAAGTCAGAATAATGGGAGGAGGGAGCAACACTAAAGGTCTCAGAGAAGAACGGGGGGAGAGAGTAATGGAAGGGCACCGGGAACAGCTACGGTGGTAACAGTACAATCGGCGCGTTAGACTTGGTATGCTGCAGTGACGGCAAGACAGGTGGCCTAAGGCAGCTACAGGAAGCGTCCGGAGGTGAACGTGGATGCAGGTCACCACGACCCTTACGTAAACCTAACCGTGAATGGCCTAACCCAGTTTGGACGTCACATGACTTT